GCCATGGCTCTTGGGTTGGAGGTAGTCGCTCTTGGGTTGGAGGCCATGGCTCTTGGGTTGGAGGCCATCGCTATTAGGATCCCTGTTTGGGGAGTACCACACCGGCCTTGCAGACTCTTGTATGTCCTTCTCGCGCTGCCACCAGAAGAGGGGTCGAGCCGTTCTTGCTCAAAGCATCCACATTCGCCTGGCGCTTTCGCTTTCGACGCTCCATGGGACTGGACATATATACTATATTGGGTCTAGCCTATTACCAGGGCCCAGTGGATGATGGTTCAGTTTGCATGGTCTCGTTCCAAAAAAAACATGATCATATATATTATATATTCGTATATGTCATAATATGATGACATATAATATATGTCATCATATTATGACATATACGAATATCTCACCTACACGACCTACATTGACTTCTGAAATCAACCACCATCAACCATCCCAATGTACCTACGTAGGTCACATTTGTCATAGGGGATGGTTGATGGGTCCCTGGATGTTGGTGGCTCTATCAACGAGTATCTCGATCAGTACGACCCATGAGACCTGCCATAGGACTGCCACCCCATTGACCCCCTTTCAACCGCCCCAACTGATCGGCATATATGGCAGTCCATGGGTCGTGTCTGGGTATTGATTTTTACTTATAGGGAGGGGTTAATGAGGAGCAACTTTCCTAATCTCCTCTGCTACAACTGGTGGAACTGAGACGTTCTCAGGTCCCATGTTCGAAGGTATGAACTGAGACTCCAGGTAGTCACAGTCAAGTCCTTTTGGTTCCTTGTCAGATGCTGCGGCTTCGCCCGCTTTGCATGGCCTGATTCGCTGCCGTTTCGCAGCTTCGCGAGACAACACCGAAACGGACGGAAACGGAGCAGCGCCAGCCTTCATCATCAGAAGGAACTCACAGACCTCGCTCGGTGCGAAGAGGTGCGAAGAGGTGCGACCCAAGCTACAAAAGTAGACCAGCTAGCTTCAAGTCAACAGAAAAGAATCTACAAATGAATCTGAATGAATATAAACAAAACTTGTCTCCCAAGAGAGCCCCTTCTCTCCCAGGTATGTAGCCGTTGAAACGCTTCTCTCCCAAGATAGCGCACAGTCGGCCTCCTCGTGTCCAAGATAGCAAGCTTCATGAAGCGGAGTATAGCCATAGGAGCCCTGGCGACCAATCGACACCGGCGAGACCCAAAGCGACAGGGAATCGGCACGAGGCGCGACCAGTCCACCAGCCCCAAGCCGATCCGAAACCGAACCGACTGGACCCGACTGCGGCCTCTCGACATGTCGACAAGTGGAGACAACACAGAAGCCGTACCTGAGGTTCGATACGAACTGGATTCCTATAAGGGTAATGAAGATCATGAAGAACCACCTGGATCCACCTGGTAGGTCGTGCGACCTGATCGGTCTCCTGGTGCCATGACCCACCAAATTTCAAAGCACTCATCCTAAGAGCCCCAATTTCTGCCCCAGGCAGGCCGCAGAAAGCACCATCTCAGCGCGAGATGTCATGCGCAGCGACGGGTCAAACCCGCGCCGGGTGGTCAATGCGGACGCGCGAATCACGCGCGCGTGGCGTGGCCTTGGCGTTCAAGTTGCCACCCTTTTCGGTAATGAGCTTCAAGATTGGAATGCGGGCACTGTGGGTTGCCTGGCCCAGGGGCACCATGCTGCTGCTGATCAGCGGCACGGACGCAAGCGGCCGCCCGATGCGCCGCCAACTCTACATGGACACGATCAAACCACACAAACCCAAGTTGTATGAGATTGTATGCACCTGGAGTCTCAGTTCGTACCATGTTCGCACCTTATAAGTAAATGGGACATGACCATGACCTGATCAAAACGGCTAATTACCTAGGACCTCAGAAGATCAAAGAGTCATCGATCGATACCCATTTTCCGAGGTACTTTCAACTCTCGCAGGTCTCCAAGTAACAACCGTCACTTCCTTTTCTTTTCGCGTGACCGAGCAGAACCGTCACGGTACCTTTCGGGCGGAGCACAACGCGTCGGTTCGCCGCTACGGTGGCACCTTCTGCATCAGGGTGGCACCTTCCGCATCTCGGAGCTTCACACTCATGCCCTGCGGAGGGCGTGCGTGGGCTGCGTGGGCTGCGCGTCTGAGCTATATGCATTTCTGTTTTAGCCATCTCACTGATTTCATCTGGAACGGTTTCCCCTCTTAGAACGCTTCCTGATCGTGATTTTGTTCATTGTTGCTCCGCTCCTAGTTATTCGGCAGTCGCACACGCCCAGGAGATGAGCCGCATCGATCGACACGTGCGACCAGTGTCATCATGTGTCATCCTCTCAGTGCAGTCTGTTTAGACGGTAAACATGCACTGTTTTTTTAACACCTCAATGGGCACCCCGAAGTCTTCTTAAGTCTTCTTAAACTCAAGAATTACTCACATGAACTGTCTAAGTGCATTACCTATTCACAAGAGATGCTAATGAGTAGGATGCAATTATATAGTCCATGCGCAGCGCGCCCAAAAGAATGGCCTGGGACAGGAGGATCCACACGCACTCTGCATCACCTCTCTCGCACAATTCATGCAAGTCAACCTCAGTCTTGTTCGTTCCAGCGTTGAAACCTGTCACGCTGCGTTCATGCACTGGAAACATGAAAGACTTTCTTCACCGACTCCAAGGAGTCTGTTTGTGGTGCCAAACCGAAGGAACTTGGAGCCGTCGCGGTGCCCCGAACGTCACATCCACTCACGGACAGGGGACGAGTCACACCATTCCTTTGGGACGCCAGCGTGTTGTGTTTGCTTTCTCTACAAAGTCTGGGATTTGCTTCGCTGCCATCGCTTGTGCCATCCAGCGCTGGGAGCCAGGCAAAGACCAAATTGAGGTCCTCGATCAATGTGGTCTGAAGTGCCTGGAGAACAGCTAGCTTCGGGCTCCCAACCACTGGTCAAGCAGACTCTCAAACATGGTGTCAGGTACGCATGGCATGTGCATCTATCTGCTGTCATAGTTCGCTGGAAAATGGGTGGACGTTTTGTACCATTGTCCAAGGTACTTGAAGTGAGGTCCAGGTACTTAGTGTCGACTCAAAACACAATCATTCCCGCCATATTTGCCTACCTTGGGGTGGTTGACCTGGGGTCCCTATGCAAAATGTCTGCCCTTCGACTGGGTTTATTGATGAAAAGGCAGAAATGATGCACAGTTGGAAGATCCAGGTATATTCGTTAACAAAAAACACACATGGAGTGTTTGGGATTGACTTTGGGTCTTTCAATGCCGACGTGTCGGGTGGGTCTTTCAAACTCCTCTACCGTCAGTCGACGGACCCCTTCGGCGGGCTTTTTCTTCGGGCCATGCCCAAGCAATATACCCAGTACGCACCAACCAGTCCTCAGGTCCAGAAAACAAAAAAAACACAAAACAGGTATAATAGTTGATACTTGAACTAAAAACAGTTTTTATCTGTTGATAAAACACTGTATAGTATCAAAACAGCACATAGACTATATAGATACAAACAGTTGATATGTCTTTTCAACTTCAACAGTTCCTATTTGTTTGATTTTGTTCTTCACGGCACAAGAAGGCTGATCCCATGTGGCCAAGCAGCATGAAGCTTTGGATCGTCCAAGCGCCACATGTACAACTTGGATGCCCTGGGGTCGTGTGGCGTGTGTATTTCCTCGTCCGACATTCTCACGACCCAAGGCCGCTCGGGCAGGGCGGGGTGGACCTGGGGTCAATGGGGCGGTAGTCCGCCAGTCCCATAGAGTCGGAGTGTCTGGGATCTACCACGAAGACTAACCGTTTGTATAGGTAACTTAGACTTTCAGTTCCAGTTCAAGCCGTAGAACCTGGGTTCTACCCGACCTGGGTTCCGCAAAACAAAACAAAACCCGGACGATGGGGACACGCGGAGGGTTCGTACCTGAAGACATTGGGGACATGACCTGATTCGAGACAAAAGGAAGGGCTGTTGATCTTTCTTCCCATGTTCCGATGTACGAAGTTCACGGTTCGACTCCAGGTACGGCCTGGGCCGGGCCGCCGGATCCATGGTCTGTTCGTCGCCATGTGTGGAGCGTCAAAGTCGAGTCCCTGCCCCTCAACTTGGCGTCCCCGTATTGAAATGACATAGAAACACATCCGGGGGTTGTCGGGTGTCTTGTTGCACGTGTTCTTGCGAAATGGAGCAGCCAAGACCCAGTCTAAGGGTTGGAATGTGATGTGAGGTTTTCCTCACCTACTGTGCACTCAACAAGAAGGGTTAGCAATGCATGTACCTGGAGTCGACCCGTTCGTACCCCAGAAAATGGAGCCCCCGTCGTACCTGATTTTGAGTTCGGGTCACGTGCCCATTTTTTCAGGCAGCTCGGAGGGTCACCGGTACTATGATTGGATGCTATAAGTAGCGGTCCTAGCGGTCCTAGCATTGCAAAACATCACATTAACTATAAATAACATGCAATAACTATAGACAGATAGATCCTCCTGCTTGCACTTGTATTTCAAGACACTGTAGTCAACATACATTTGCTTGAAAAACGCTGCGATGCCAACGCTGCATCTCCAGCTTCAGCCCATTTTGCCATCCCGCAACAGCCTGCGGAGCTTTGGCCATGCTGATGGGAGGGCATGGCACATCTTGCTCAAGGCCTCACGGGTTCCCCAAGCGGGCTGGTCCCTGCGATGCCAACGCTGCGACGTCGCAGTTTTCGCGGCACTTGGCATTGGCCGAAGCTTTAGCGTGACGAGTCACTCGGCTCGTATGAGCTAACTCAGTAGGTGTGGTTTTCACGATCAACAGTGATTTACCAACATTTTCCCGTCGAATCATGTCGAATCTGCGATCCACTCTGTCACTCTGTCCGCTTGTGCCTCATCCTGCTTCAGAACAATGCTCAACTTCGTCATGGCCACCGCACAATTCTGCACCTTTCCAAGATCAAAGGATCCCAAACAGTTTCTGGGTATTGGGAAGCAAGTGTTCCAATTTTCTTTAGGTCTATGGTTTAAGTCAAACTAGAATCACTGGTTACTATTGAACTATATATAGTTAGTGGGTTAGCCTGGATACACTGGGGTCGGACTCAAGCAGTCATCGGCTCGTCGGACTCAAACATCTGCTGGCTGTGAGAAGAAGTCTCTGGCTCACAAAAACGAAAACCTGTAGGACAGTTGGAGGCTTATGTAAAGATCCCCAACAGAACCTTTGCATGGATGGGTGGTTTTAAGATGTGTTCTATAAGGATCAGTAGTTAAAATATTCCAGTGCCATGGATGGTCTGGGCATGTCAATTCCCTCTCCTCACCTGTCTTGAGCTCCTAGCTGCTCCTAGCTGACCAAACTTTGCCGGTCAAAATCCCCTCGAGGAGAAAAACTATGGGATCCTGTCCAATGATGTCCGCCCTGAAGAAGAGTAGAGAGGTCGATTTGGTACCATTTACATCCATTTACCAATTGGTTGTTCCTGGATAAATCACCAAACAATAAAAAAACTTAAAAGGCAATCTCTGGTCCTGTATCCCTCTGTCGCCCGAAGTGGCGCAAGCGCCCCCAAAGTCGCGCAAACGCGCCTCTTGCACCAGATCTTGCCCAACTACTTGCCCGGTTTGAACCGTACAGCCAAGATTGGACGCAGGAAAAACAGGTGATAAACAAGATTGGACCCTTGACCCTTGAAGTCGAACCACCATGAATTTTAGCCTTTACCAAACCACCATTGTTTTACTACTCAGGATTTTACACTACAACACCAGATCAACCATTCTTTTGATGGTCTTGGAAGGCTATGGTGACCATTGTGCTGGGGACGACCACCCAACTATTTGGCTTTGCGGCGGTTGACTTTTATTCTTTTCCACCACAACATGCAAAGAAAATGCAGGGATGCCGAATCCATTGCTCTGCTGCCAGCCCGCCAGTTTCAAAACCACCCTTCTTGCGCAGCCAGTGCCTGAACATTAATGAAAAACCCTTTAAATGAGGCGGAAGCAGCCCGACGTCCGACAGTTCTGGACACAGAAATTGGGCAAGCCAACTAGCAAAGAAGAGGTAGGAAAAGGGAAAAGGCAGGTTTTGGTGGTAGTTGGGAGCAAGTTGGGTACAAGGCTCCATTGGGATAATATTCAAGAATTTTTGTAGTACAAAAACGCTCTTGAAGTATAGTTGGAAATACATTTGTTTTGTTCGTTTGGGTGTTCTTTGCGAAGAACTATTTATAAACACAGAACCTTCATGCAGTTAGCTTATTCTGCTTATCTTGTCATGGGTTGACTGCAAGGGGCACTGAGAAAACTCTTAAGGGAGAGGCATTAACTGAGTCTGTCGAGGTTTAACCACTAGTCTGTCTTCTGAATGCACAACCGGGCAAAATCTGACGACGTGTCCAGGAAGTCAACAAAGTAGTCAACAATGAAGTGCGTCGTCTTGAGGAGCTCCATCTCGCTGTTCCCAACTCAAGTCAAGTGCGCTCCTTTGAGATCACTCAAGCGATCCATGCAATAAGAGTATACGGTCTGCCACCTTAGGGGCACGACCGCTGGATCGTAAGACGGCCTGCAGTGCCAACCAGCGACTTGTCTGTGACTCCTGCGTTCTTTTGCAAGACAACTGAGCGTCGTTGTCCAGTCAGCTCGACTGCGCGCAGTATTGTATTGGGCATCTCTGGCTTTGGCACGCCTTGCGGCAGTGGCGTTCGCCGATTATTGCCGTCATCACTGCCCTCTTCCTCAACGTCGTTGTAGAAGCAGTCGCCGAAGGGGATGTTCTTTCGCCCATTTTGGGCATGTGGCGACGCGTTGAAGCAGTCAACGCAGATCGAGCAGTGCATACCGCACAGGCGGCAATGCGCGCTTTCAATTATTTCCACATCTGTCTCGACTGGCTCCAGCCAATTGGCCTCATGAGTTTGCTTGGCCTTGCTGTAGTTGCCAGGTAGAGCAAAAGCCTCGCATCCCCCTGGAGCGAGGCATTCCTCAGAATCTGCATTGATTGATGGCAGGGCTTTTGTGATCCCTGTCCGTGTGTGTGTAAAGACCCATCAGCACCCGTCATCAAGATCCCTTCCTCGTTCAAATCGACATGCATCATCAAGAGCCATTGTTGAAGGACGGAGTGGCCAATCACTTCCAGTGGGCCACGCGCATCAAAACATATCAAAACAACCCGGCTTCTCCAGAAAGACAGTCCAGAAAGAGGCTTTTGGTTTTGGAACCTCAAACTTTTCCTCGCTATTCTGAGGTGGGACCCAGCTTTCAAGCAGTCAAAGCGGCAACAAAACGGCAAGAGGCGCTGCAAAGTAATACATTTTGCAGAAAAAACAAGAATAACAGCTAAGAATAAAACCAAAAAAGAATACAAAGGCTACACCGGCGCAAACCCAGCGCAGACCAAAGGCAGTGTACACAGAGCATGTGGCGCAGACCAAGCGCAAACCAAGGGCAGACCAATGGCAAAGTACACAAAGGAGAGTGGCGCAAACAAAGGATAGTGACTACTACTACTACTACCACCACTACTTCTTTTACTACTACTACTACTACTACTACTACTACTACTACTCCTGCTACTACTACTACTACTACTACTCCTACTGCTACTGCTACTGCCACTGCCACTGCCACTGCCACTGCCACTGCCACTGCTACTGCTACTTACTACTACTACTACTACTACTACTACGACTACTACTACTACTACTTCTACTACCACTCCTACTCCTGCTACTACTACTACTACTACTTCTACTACCACTACTACTCCTTCTACTACTACTACTACTACTACTACTATTACTGCTACTACTACTTATGTCACTGACACGTTTGCCTCTCAACATGGAGATCATCAGATCAGCAGCTCAGCTCCTTGGAGCAAAAATTAAACGGCTGCAATTCACCTAGTGATGGACCACTCAACGCACCAGGCAACCCAGCTTACTTATTGACGCCTACCCTACGACTACTAGTGTCCAACGACAAAATGTGTCCAGCCAAAGGCATCCGACCAAACTTCTTCTTCAGGATGTCGCAAGACCTGGGCACAATGTAAAAGGTGGTGGATATTTGACTTGGACGAATTTGTTGCTGAGGCAAAAGCTGGCTTAAACCGAACCTGCTTTAGTCGTTGGGGTCCAAAGGCACAACCAAACACAGGTAGCCAATGACTAGAAGGTAGAAACTTTGTATGCAAACCCTTTTGAGGGCAGTCCGCAAAACAACGTGTTCAGCAAAACAACGTGTGCAAACAACATTTGGGGGTTATCAACAAAAGAACATTCTCACCACTGTGAGGCTGTCAGCAAGTTCTAGTGCCAGCGCATGTGTCAAAAACTATATCCGAATGACTGGCTCAGATGTTTGTTGACCTTTCATGTTTCAACGTGTATATATAAAGTAGACAAAGGAATTCGAAAACTCATGGGGGGTTGAGATGTCATGATTATAAAACTATTCCTTTACATACACGCTCCATCTACGCGGGAAACTGAAGCCCATTACTTTGCCTTTTGATCTCAACCCCACACATGGCAAATATCAAAGTGGTATAACTTCGCAGTCCTTGACCAGTTGATCCTTTACCCCGTGGCATACATTGGAATTCATTCATGGGTTTGTTTTGACATTATGGTGCAAATCCAGGGCGACCAAAACAATGAAATAATAAATAACCAATCATTTGGGTTTGCCATGGTTTGCCTGCCCGACTGTCACTCCATCCCCATCCAAGTGGCTGGAACTCAGGAGCTCTGTCTCAGCAGCTCTGTGGTCAGGGTCTGGCCTGCATCACTGTACAAGTGGAAAAGTGATCTTTGTAAACACCATTTCTAATTTTGTCATCATTATCCATTGTTAATGTCTAGACTGACCTGTAGACCAACTGGATGCGCAATGACAACTTTATGAAGTCTTGGATGGCTTGGAACAGTGACAGTGAGGTATCAGTGAGGTTTGGATTCAGACCAGGATAGACAGACTGCCGGAGCCTGCAATTGCAGCACTCTGTATGCTCAACTGAGTTGAAGTATGGAATCAATAACTGACAAGTAAATCACGACCCGGGTGATTAATTGTTCATTGGAGTTACTGCTTTTAACAAGTTCTTGACTAACAAGGTTTTATCTGAATGAAACCAATTTTTACATACTTGCATATACTGACTGTTATGAAAAAATATGTTCATCAAAAAAAAGAGCAGAATTCCTACCTCTTCCCTGCTCCTACCTCTTCCCTCCTAATCGTCCCGTCTGAAGAAAACCCTGTTCTGACAGTTCATAAGTTCATGCGGCTTTCTGGACACAGCTGGCGCACAACAGCGACCTAGCCGCGGAAGCCGCGGAGCGGCACGAGGAGCCCATGAGAGTCCAGTGGCGGACACGAGGAGAACAGAACCGAGCGCGGTGATCATCTCCCAAAGCAGCCCAAAGCCCTTCCACATGGGGCCTGCGACCGTTGCAGGCCTTTAACGGCCATACTGGGCCATATAGTGGGGTACAAACATCTGGATGATAAACATAGCAATAAACTTTGCCAAATGTTACTGGCTACAGACAGAACCAACGAGATTCCACCTCTTTTCCGACTTTTCCTCCGCCTCTTGCACGCAACGTCCGTTCCACGTGTGCGCTGGACGGGAAGTGGAGGCGACAAACGATAAAGATCGACAAAGCAACAGCTTCAGAGATTTTGAGAATTCCATAAAAAGCGGCATTGGTGATTGATCATTGCCCAGGCACTCCATGCCGCTCCCTTGACCCTTCAAATCAATGAACCATGGCCCTTGACCCTCTCCTGGAAAACGACTGGCAGTCCCAAACAGCTCGTGTCTGGGATGGGTGTCAAGTAATTCAAGTGCCTGTCAGCCAAGTACGTAATTAGTGACCGCTACAAATTATTTCTCAAGATATTTCAAT